GGGAGCGCTCGCGACCGCACGTTCGCTTAGGGGGACGCCCCACCGAGCGGAGGACGGGTCTGTTACAGAGACCCGGGACCCAGAACACCTGCCCTTGCCAAGTGCCCCGCTGTCCCCGGGGTGGACGGGACGCCCCTCTGTGGAAGAAGTCCGGTTGCGGTGGACCCTAGTGCATCTCCTGAGAAATCGTCGCGCGGGTCCGCGCTTCCTTGTCAGGTGGCGACGGCTGACCGGCTGGGCAGGATTGTTGGGAGGCTCCGAAGACCTGGAGTATTACAGCCACTCACTGATTTTGTCCCTTCAATTTCAGAAATGTTTTTTCGGGGTCAAAGTCTGGGTATATATGAATGCAAATCCTCACTCGTTTGCAAATAAGCCCAGCAATCCGGACTGAGAGGATCACTTCTCTGCAGGCCATTTGCCCAGGTAATTATGTTTTTCTTTGACAAGCTCTAAGACATTTTCCAGTCACTTAGCCTGTACCAAACACGACTTAAGAAGAGAATGGAATGGGTTGTCCTCCGACATTCCGTTGCCGTGTGGGAGACAGGGAGGGTTAGAGCCCCCTACACCCCTGGTAGAACAGTACCAGGTTCTGAGGGCCGCGGAGGTGAGCACAAAGGACTGGAAGGTTGCGCCAGGTCGGAGAAGCTTCCCAGATGTGATGCCACTCGGCCACTGATTGTTCTGAAGCCCAGCGTTGTATCACCGAGAACCACTGCAGGGGTTCTTTAAAAGTGAATCTGGGGCACCGGCTGATGGTGTGATGGTTACATCACTGGACTCCCACATAGTTGACCCTGGTTCGAGTCCCAGACCTACTGGCTTAAAGCTCATGCTGGGTGCATGTGTGTGGCCGAAATCTCAAGAGAGAATGGAGGAGAAGGGATTGTGGCATGGCCATTCCCCCCAGGCGTGATTTCTCGCTCTCTGTCTCTCTCTGTCTTTCTGGCAAGCGCACGCACCCTATAGCAAAAACCTCCCCCCCCCAAAAAAAAAGTGATTCTGAATTTTATTAGTAGGATCTCTTCTACTTTTTAAGATCCTGTGGTAAATCTCAGGTTCCCTTAGGGTTAAACTAGGCAGAGGTACGAAGGGTGGGTGTTGAAAGCAGATGGAAGAACTTCTGTAAAGGCAGGGCATGGGAGTACGCCATGCATTGTTTTAGGAAGAGTAAGTGAAGGGAGGTAAGTGCAGTGGAACGGCAAGAGGTGATACTGAAGGTCATGGGGGGACCTTGTGTATTGAACTAAATCATTTGAATTGCGTGTAATAGCTGGGGAGGAGTCATTTGTGCTTTTGAAGTCCAATTTGTGCTTTGGTCTCTGGCAACATTTTGAAGGAAGAATTGGTGGTGGGTAAGTCAAGAGGCAGAAAGATCATTTAGGCTTCTTCAGTAATCCATGCAAAGAACGAAGAAAATGTATTAAACTGTAAGATATTGGCAGTCCCACTGAGAAAAATGTACAGGTACATTACAAATGACCCGGTAGTTAAGAAAGCAGACTCTGTGGACTCAGACGAGGGCGTAGGGAGAAGTGAGAGAGGATGTCTCGCAGGTAACTTGTGGCGAATGACGGTGTCATCACTATATGGAGTACAGGACAAATGGCAGATTTAAGGAAAGGACTTTATTCTGGTTGTGTTTACCTTCTGGTACTTGCCAGATGTGTAGGGAGAGATCCACTGTGTACAGGCATTCTGAGGGAGGCTTTCATTTATTGAGAGGTGGAACAGTTCAGAATGGCACTAGGAGTTCTCCGTACAGTAGGATGCTTCAGTGTGATTTGATACTAGGTCACCTAGAAAAAGGTACTGGGTAAAGAATGTTCAGGGCAAGTCATTGGATTTTTAGATGAGAAACAGGAAGAAGGGATTATAAAGGAGATTGGGTAGAGGAAGTATCAGGAGAAAGGTGTGTTCTCACAGCTGAGGAAAGCTTTTGTTTTTGTGTTTGTTTTGTTATAAGAGGTTTCGCCTTGGAGTGTGTGTGCTCACCAGAGAGAGACAGAGATAGTGAGATGGAAAGTGAGAAATCACCCCCCCCCCCCCCCCCCCTCGTGGGCATGGCCATGCCACACTTCCTTTTTCTCCATTCTCCCTTTTTTTTGGAGAGATTTTCGCTATAGGGCGTGTGTGCTCGACAGACAGACAGAGACATTAGAGACAGAAAGAAATCACTCTCCAGGGGGGATGGTCACGCCGCATTCCCTTCTCCTCCATTCTCCTCTCAGGATCTTGGGCACGCACGCACATGCGCCTGGCGTGAGTTTTAAGCCACTGGGTCTGGGACACGAACCGCGGTCGACTATGTGGGAGTCCAGCGACATAACCATTACGCTAACTGCTAGTTCTCTCCATTCTCCTTTTGGGATCTTGGGGACGCAGGCACATGAGCCTGGTGTGAATTTTAAGCCTCTGGGTCCGGGACTCAACCACAGTTGACTGCATGGAAGTCCAGCAATGTAACCATTATGCTGTCTGCTGGTCTCCATGGTTAGCAGTTTTTAAAAAAAAAAAAAAAAATTTTTTTATTTTAAAATAAATATATAATTCCCTTTGTCATTTTCTAATTTGACCAGAGAGAGAAAGAGAGAAAGGAAGCTACCAGGTCCAGGACTTGAATGGTAGTCAGCCATGTCGGAATCTGGCGCCCTTAACCACCTTGCCACCTGTGGGCCCAGTGCTTAGCATTTTTAAATGCTTTAGAAGAATAAAGAACTTACATGATTTGGTAAAATAGAGTTTCACTTTCTATTTTTATAAGTTTTCTTCCCTCATTGAATTAGATCACTGGGACAAACCAGCCTCTGTAGACTGTTAACTTCCTGGTATTACAATACTAGCCTTTCAGGTGTAACAAAGTCTTTGAATAAAATAGCTTATATTTTGAAAACAAAAAACAAAAAACCACAGTGAAGATTTTATTTGTTTAATTACTTGATTTTAGGACTTTCGTGAAAACATTCGGTAGAGTAAGAGTAGAAGCCAGAATACAAAGGAAGTGAAGAAGTGGGAGACAGTGAATGTAAATGATTTTTTCATGATTAGCTGGGAAGGCTAGAAGAAAGGGATTGTCATTTTAAGTTTCTGGCTATTAATTGAGAAATTAAATCCAAGGGTAAGTCAGTCACAGCTGTGCCATTGGTGAAGCGTCCTGTGTTTTTGACAAGCCAGCAGTCCTGTTGATGCTCAGAGTTGCTCTCGTTTCTGCCCTGAAGCCTCGGTGTTGTGTGAGCACCGCACGTTTTGGTTCAGTGATGAGTTCAGACAGACAGTGCTCAGTGAAGGTAACGAGATAGACCCAAGAAAAATGGAGTTGCATAAAAACTTACAGGATTCACAGTCATCTACAAATCATGTTTTTCTTGAGGAAAAAAAAAATATACCTTGTTGGAGTTTGTTGGGCTTAGCTGACAGGCCAAGGATGTTTAACCACACATGTTAGGACCTTTTCAGAGGACTTGGGAAACACATTTCTGTTGTCGGTATGTTCTATTCTACGGCAGTGTTCTCTGTATTCTAGAGTCCATGGTACTTACCTGATGGCAGTAACTCCCGTCTGCTTTGAGAAAACTGGCTCCTGTTTTCTGGGGTGTGGAAATAGGCTAGCTCTTTGAGTGCAATAAAAACCATTTTCTGTAATTGTGTTGATAGGAGGTTTGTTTTGCTCTCTGTCAATTATTTTAAAGTGCCTAACATTTTATTTGTACTTTAGTCTCCTAAATACATTTTTAAAGAATTATTTTATTTATTTATTTATTTTTTTTGTGGAGAGGTTTTCGCTATAGGGCGCGTGTGCTCGCCATTCAGACAGACAGAGACATAGAGACAGAAAGTGAGAAATCACCCCCCAGGGGGAATGGTCACGCCACAATCCCTTCTCCTCCATTCTCCTCTCGGGATCTTGGGCACGCATGCACACATGCCTGGCGTGAGTTTTAAGCCACCGGGTCCGGGACGCAAACCGCGGTCGACTACGTGGGAGTCCAGCGACATAGCCATTACGCTAACTGCTGGTTCCCTTAAAGAATTATTTTTTGTTTTTATAGATTTGGCATAGGGCATGTGTGCTCACCGGAAAGTCAGAGACAGAGAGAGAGAGAAAGTGAGAAAGCTACCAGGTCTGGGATTTGAACGATGGTTGGCCATGAGGGAGTCCAGCACCTTAACCACCATGCCACCTGCTAGCCCTTAATTAACATTTTTTAAAGTTGAAATTGACCGTAGTCTGTTACTTTGGAAACTTATGCTTGATCAGTTGACATTTGAGAAATCTCTTAAGTTTCACTTTCTATTCTTAAAAGTTCTCTTCCCTCATTGAATTAGATCACCAGGACCAACCAGCCTCTGCAGACTGTTAACTTCCTGGTATTACAGTACTAGCCTTTCGGGTGTAACAAAGTCTTCTTTGAATAAAATAGCATTTTTTTTTTTTTTTTGAGAGATTTTCACTGTAGGGCGCGTGGGCTCGCCAGACAGACAGAGAGAGACATAGAGACAGAAAGTGAGAAATCTCCCCCCAGGGGGGATGGTCACGCCGCAATCCCTTCTCCTCCATTCTCCTCTTGGGATCTTGGGCACGCACGCACACGCGCCCAGCGTGAGTTTTAAGCCACCGGGTCCGGGACACGAACCGCGGTCGACTACGTGGGAGTCCAGCGACATAGCCATTACGCTAACTGCTGGTTCCCTAAAATAGCATATTTTGGAAAACAAAAAACAAAAAAACCACAGTGAAGATCTTATTTGTTTAATTACTTGATACTCTCCAGTCTGCATTACCCTCGTACAAGGTAGACATTAATACAGAGTAATTAGAGTTAGTGTAAATAAATAAGTAGCAAGACTCTGCATCTGAACTTGCATACTTTTTTTTCTTGCCAGTTGAGAACTGAGTAATGTTATCCTTCTGCTCTGCCTTTTTTTCTTTAAGAACTATTTTACTTAACTTTTAAAAAGTTTATTTATTTATTTGACCAGAAAGGGACAGAATGAGAGAGAGGGAAAGTGAGAAAGCAAGCTGCCAAGCCCAGGATTCGAACCATGGCCATCCATGTGAGAGTCCAGCGCCTTTAACCACCACACCACCTGGTAGGTAATCCCTCTGCTCTGCTTTTGAGAAGGCTTCTAACTTAAGTTTTAAAAGACTGACACCAGCAAATGGTCTAATGGTTATGTTGCTGGACTCCCACCTAGTTGACTGCAGTTCGAATCCTGGACCTGGTGACTTAAAAAAAAAACTCATGCTGGGCATGTGTGTATGCGTGTCCAGAATCTCAAGGGGATAGTGGAGGAGGAATTGTAGTGTGGCCATCCACACTGCAATTATGATTTTATGCTTTCTGGCTGCCTCTTTGTCAAATACATATACCATATAGCAAACACTCCCTCCCCCCCAAAAAAAAAACAAAAAAAAACACATG